CCCTGAGCCGGTGAGATTTGAACAGTCGAACTGCCGAACTAGCAGTCAGCTGAAGTAGCCTGCAGTACTGCACTCTAACCACTGCGCCACCTCGGTAGGGTAAGGTAGGGTAGGATGGAATGGAATAGAGTAGGGTAGGGTAGGATGGAATAGGGTATGATGGAATGGGATGGGATGGAATGGGATGAGTAGTTGAGTAGAAAGTTCCTGACAGCTAGAACAATTAATCAGTGGAACAACTTGCCTCCAGAAGTTCTGAATGCTCCAACACTGGATGTTTTTTAAGAAGATGTTGGATAACTATTTGTCTGAAATGGTGTAGGGTTTCCTGCCTAGGCAGGGGGGTTGCACTAGAAGACCTCCAAGGTCCCTTTCAACACTGCCATTCTATTCTACATCTTATCTGTCATTGGCCCAATATCTGCAGAGATCTGGCAGTGACAAGCTTCACAGGAGAAGCGAAGCAGCTCCAGGTATTGTATGTGAAATGCTTCCAGTAAAATCCTTTAAGAGGTGCTTATACAGCAGATGTTCAAGGACTGTAAGACAGTCCCCTTGATGTACCTCTTTCATGTAGTCCAAGAAAAAAATCATGCCATATAGCTCTATTTGCATCACTCAAACCAGCATTCTGCTTAGGACGGCAGAGGACTCTACCTTAATGTACTGATGGAAAAAAAAAATCAACTGCTGATCCAGCTACCTTTGTACACAGGAAAAGGTCATAATTTTGTCCTTTACGTCAAGGAGCAAAATGTTTCATGCCCGTAAGGAAGAAGAGAGGAAGGGAAAGCTTTTGAAAACGGAGAGTCATTTCAAAGAGTCATTTCAAACATTCACCTTTTAGGAGGAGTGCCTGTACATTTAGTTCCTTTCGGTGACATGGATTGGTCTTATCACAAAGCTTTGCTTCACAACCATTGTGGACATGTAACTGGAGGTGCTGCAGACATGTTATCACAGAGACTATGTGGTGTTGTGAAGTGTAATTTGATACTAATACTGAACAGAACTGGTATCCACCTTTGTGAATATTGGTAGCATATGTGACAATATGGACAAACTACAGAACAATACCAAGTTTTCTGATAGTATCAGTTCGGAGGAGCAAATGCAGTTAAGTCCTGAACCCTTTTCTTAGAGGGATATTCACCTGGGATCCCTTACCAGATCCCATAAACCCCACAAACGCTCTAGTGTGCTCTGATTCAAGGAGTGATCTTCAGATGCATTCAGTGATCACAAGGCCTTCAAGATTCCTTTCTTTAGAACAGTTGATTTAGATGTGGAAGTGGAATTATGCTTCGATACCTAGAAGAACTTCATATCTCAAAAGTAAATCTTACACATGATTCAAAAAAGCAACCTAGAACTAAGGAGAAATTTCCTGACAGTTAGAACAATGAATCAGTGGAACAACTTGTCTCCAACACTGGAAGTTTTTAAGAAGAGATTGGGCTTTTGTCTGAAATGGTATAGGGTTTCCTGCCTAAGCATGGGGTTGGACTAGAAGACCTCCAAGGTCCCTTCCAACTCATCTAGTCTAGTTTAGTCTAGTTGTCTAGTCCAGTCCAGTCCAAATTGGAATCCATTTCTAATGGCTTTCTACATGATCCAAAATATGGGTTCTTCTTTGCATAAGGTCTATATTTTAATTTTATATGACTTCTGAACTACAATAGATATGTAACATTAGGGACAGAATGCATAGCTGTCTTACTTTTATTGAGCAATTTAGATTGTGCTGATAGTCGTGCTTTGCTTAGAACTTAATTATGATTTCCGAACTGTTTTCAGTCTGATGATATTCAGATAGTCACAATCCATTAATGATATACTGAAAAATTATAATCTTGTAAATCCCTTATTTACTCCTTTGTATCCTATCCCTTTATCCCTTTATT